GGCCACCCATATTAGATCCGTTTGCGTTGCGTTGACGTGAATTTGACAGATTTAGCTGTCACTTTGCCGCAACGTGTCTGATCCGGATCTAATGTGTGTGGGCCTTAAGTGTGTTCGTCACTCCGCATTTGATTACTATGCTGCGAAAGACAGAGTTCCCAGAAACGGTTCTGGAGAGGTGTTACTCTTGTCAGAACCTCGAGACTCATGCACATCTATGACACAAATGTCATTCCCATATACTTTGTGTGAAACCGAATAATCCTGGTTCTCTGGTTCGATTTTACGTCAATATTTGACAGCTGCTGCAAATATTCACAAGCAAGCTCTGGTCGTATGAATAAAAGCGTTTACTTTACTTTCCCCGTAAGAAAAGCACGGGAAAGTAAAGTAAACTATTTTTATTCATACGGCCCGTTGTTAGGAATGTTTTTCGCTAGTGGCGGGAAGGATTTTTTATAATCTTTGTTGTGATAAAGGCGCTTTTACTGTGTTTAACAGGAATTATCGTTGCCTGAAAATGAAGTGCATTATAATTGGATGTGATAGCAGCATTACTACACCATTAAAAACTTTTAACGCGATATAACCATGCGGCACACATGAATGTAGCTTAAAAACGTGTTGTCAACACTAACACCACCACCACCATCGGTGGCGGCTTCTGCGAGTACTAGTCTTGCCAGGGATGTGGACTCATGTTATGCGTTGAGTGCATACAGCCGAGAGCAATACGCAGACAACGATATTGAATTCGTTCTAATTTTATTAGGTGACTTTTTCTTGCCGAGAGAAAGCAGAATGAGCCCTACTTTAGAACAGAGAGAATTGTTGTTTTATAAAGCGTTATGAGGTCTCCCGGAGTAGCACCCCACCATGTGCCGCGAATTGAACGGAGAAAGTTGATCTTCTGATGATATTTTTGCTTCAAATACGTATTATGGGTATTCCAAGTGCTCTTTGAATCAAAGCACACTCCAAGGTACTTTAAAGACAATGATTGAGTAATGTTTCTGCCCAAAAGAGTAAGCTGCATTTGGGCTGGGTACCGCTTTCGAGAAAACACTACTAGTTCAGTTTTCTGAGGCGAGAATTCGATCCATATTTAAGGAACTTTGCAATGGACCTTGCAAGTCCCCGGCATGTGCACCCCTTACATAAACCACACCGTCATCTGTAAGTTGCCTTAGCGTGCATTGTTCTGCCAAACAGTTGTCAATATCTTTGACATAAAAGTTATAAAGAGGGCTGAGACATTAACCTTGGGGCAGGCCCATGTAACTAATTCTGGTAGACCACAAATTGTACAAGAAATTATTTAAAATTCCAGAAAGTCCACACCTGTGCAGATTTTTTTTTTTAATCTCTATTATATAGATTTTTAGCCTGAAGGTTATCTGTGCAGATTGTCTGACAGAATTTCAATGGAAACTAAATCAATAGCCCCCTTAATGTCCAAGAATACTGAAGCCAGTTGAATATCTGTGGAAAAAAGCGCTAGACAATCTTTTGTTTCCTCTTGCGTAACCCAAACTGTGTATTTGATAGCAAGTTATTTGATTCGACCCCCCTCCCCTAGTTTTTGCACCTTGCTGTTGGTGGGCGGGCTTAATTTCATGCTTTATAGTAGAGTGTTGGAGACTGTAGGTTTATGGCCGGTGTTGCTGGCTCATGCCGCGATAGAATGGCGTCATGGGCAGGCAATGGGGATTACTAAGCTTCCCCTCTCTGATGAACCACTGCATGAGAAAACCAAAGATCTAGTCTAGCAGTGATAGTATCACACTTGTAACTCCTTTGATTGAGAGCCGCGTCGTAGTACGCTTACGTATAGGCACTGACGTTGGGTGTGATACTGGCGGGTTTTGCCGCAAATCACTCTTATTTTATTTATTTTTACGTAGGTAGATTTATTTGGGTTTGCAAGGGAATTATACTATTATTATGTTTCAGAAAAATCCCAACGGTGTTCCTTCTATTTGCGTGACAAGCTTTCATTGTTGTTTTCATTGAAGTATTACGCAGGAAACAATGTTAAACATCATTTTTGTACATGGTATTGTAACTAATTTTATATGTGCTTCATTTTGATTTGGGATAAGTGTTTGAACTATGGCTCGGGATTTCCACTGTGGCGTGCTTCTATTGTAACATACCCATACGTATTTTTGTAGTGCGACATAGTGGAAGCGTGTGAGCATAGTTGGAGCATATACCCTATAGAATTTAAAAATCAGCTAGGAAACTAACATCAAAATAAAGCATTTTAGTAACATGAAGGTGTTACCTGGGTCGAACTAAGATATAATAAATAGGTATAGGCCAAAATCAAAAGTACTTGAAACACGTTTAATTTTAGATTACAAGCACAAATGCAGGTACCTAATAAAGCATGGGTTATGATTGATTAAGTGAATTGGAGCTTTTAATAATTTATTAAATAAGACTAATGAGATATCATATTCATTGAAAAAAACTTAAATAAGAAACTTCAGAAAGTCTAATGACATTAAGTAGATTAACGAAAGAATTACGATGCGGGGTGTTCCCTTAGGGAGGCAACTAACCTTTAAAGTTGTAGAATAAATCTTCTTATTTAGTCTTGAACTTTAATAAAGAAAACGCAAGCAGACCAATAGCATTAAGCAGATTAACAAGGAAAGGAATAGTGTAGGAAATAAGTAAAAGTGGGGGTATGTGACAATTAATAACTTTTAAACTTTTGGAGGTATTATATTCCCCTGATTTTGTTGTACTCGATTACTATATTATTCTCTCAATACGCGAAATCTCTTATATATGCGGTTAAAGCATTTGAGTTAACTTATTTCTTAGTATTCAAGTACCGTAAAACGGGATAACATTGATTATTTTTTAAAGTATATTCTAAATATTTTTTGCAGCAATGAATATTTTTCAAATTTTATGTTTTTAAAACAAGTGCTGAGAATCCAAGAGTTATTTCGTACGTAATTTGTTTAACGGGAATTAAAGCATTTGCACTATTTTTTAGTTTTGTTACCGAACATCAGTATTTTGATTTGGGGTTACTTTAATAATGCTCAATGAATGTAGAAAAAAAATACGTGAAACTCAAACATTTTAGTTCTTTAAATATGAAACTTTGAATAAGTATATAATCAGAAAACACCATAGGCAATAATATTACAACATTGAATTTGTGATGGCTATATCGGAAATTCATGTCATAAGTGATGGTTTGAGTGCTTTTTCAAACAGGCGAAAAATACGAAAATTGTTTTTTAACATGTTTGTAAAATATGTAACACATACTATATAAAAACTATATACGATATCAACGGAAATACCCTAAGCTACAATATGGAACCAATGTTTCTAATTTGGAAAAAGCACAACGAGTAAATTTAATCTTTACATTATAATATCAAAGTTACCCGCATTATCAAAATACCCCGTTTTACGGTACTTACATTTTTAAACAGCAGTCAATGTTAATCTATGAACTAAACCCTACGTAAAATCCATCTTTCCTTATGTGGTATTGATGCATGTTTAACTTTTCGCGGCTGTCGGAATCAACGCACCTACGAGCTTACGCAGAAGTGATTCGCAATGCGGTATAGCTCACCAAAAGTTTTTTTTTTTTTGAGCTTCTGTAGTATAGAACTTGTTCGGTACGGTCGCGAAATCTTGAAATGATTGATACATGTGATAAAATAAATAAATCGAAACAAAGCTCAACAGTAAAATAAGTAGAATATCTAGGGAGGAAACCAAAATTAATCAACTTGCCAACATAGGCTATCACATTTATTTTGGTGGCACTCTTTAAATGATAGTAAGCCTTTTTTTTTCTTGCTTCGGTTGTCTCACGCGGCTTTCGGAATTCGCGCGGTTTTCGTAACTTACATAATTCAGATATTTCGTTCGCAACGGATTTACTTATTCAATCGGTTTATTACGCGGATGTATCTACGCGCACACATCACAGCATTTTTTCCATAACTTATAAGTTATTTGATTCGACCCAGTGATCGATTTTGGGAAGGATCATTTTCTCCAACATTTTCCTAATGCACGAAAGCATAGTAATCGGACGGTATGAGTTATGGTCAGACGCTAGTTTCCCAGGTTTGTTGTTTCCTAGTAAATCCCCCGTAACGTGGGTAGATCACGTTATGGGATGTAAGATCTACTTTCGATTCCTGACTACTTCAAATAAGTGGAACAGGATTTTTCAGTAATCAAAGGAACACATCTTAGTCCTTGTTACTTTTTATGCCTTGTTGATAGTTGATTTGGTTGTTCGACTGGTTTTATGTATCTTGTTGATAGTGACAAGACTCGGCTTTGTCCATCGAGAATGATCTTGAAACAAGGAAAAAAAAATAGTTAGATGAATGTGATTCCTAATCTATGACATAAATGTTGTTTCCTAGGTTGAAGTGGTTAAGACTAGGGTTCGGATGCATGGTCATTATCGGTGTCATTCCTTGATTTTGTTACTATGGAATCCAATTTTGACTGATAAAGGGGCGCCCCTAGATGATCCTTATTCCTGTTATGTTAGAACTTTTTCGAGCGTAGTTTGCAGCTGTTCCAGAAAAACTGCCGTAGTAGTCATGATAATAAACTCTTGCTATATACCTTAATGAATACCGATTTTTCTTATAAGTGTGTCCAATCTAAAACATGCTCAACAAGAATGAAGTTTTAGATCTTATACCCTGGACAGACTATGGCTTATATCATGTAATATAGGCTGTCTTGAAATGAGCACTCATACATAGGATTTCCAGTGAAAACTAGATGTATGAGTGCTCATTGCAAGACAGCCTATATTACATGATATAAGCCATAGTCTGTCCAGGGTATTAGGATCAATTTAGTGATAATGATAATACGTATATAATAATGATAAAATTATGGCATTAATTTCACGGGCTGACTCGAATTTAAGCTAGAATCAATATTGATAGAATAAGCAATTTAAAATCATTTTTCTTTGCTACCAACAGGTTCGATGTACTAGTCAACGGTGGAGGAGCAGTGACATTACAGTTTCAAAGGTCTCCTTTCCGTCCACTTACACGTACTGTTTTTGTCCCATGGAATCAGGTAACGAAACTCGCTTTTTTTTTATTTCATAGGACATACAAAGTATAAAGGAATATTTTTTTCACTTTCAGATAGTAGTACTTCCACCTGTACAAATGCAAATAAACGACGAAGATGACCAATCAAGATTAGCTATCAAGTGAGCTCTTACTAACTTTCATTGTAATTATAGCGAGTAAATATTTCATTTTCATTAGCTTTTTCTCCACTACGTGGAAAAAAGGGGAATATTCGCAAATCTTAAGGATATCAACTAATTATACAAAAACAGCGGTGGCCTGTAAATAAGCACAATTGGCCGATTTTCATACAAACTAACCAACTTTGGCATGTTGCAACTATGTTTTGTTATGATCAATTGAGCTGAAATGTTGACGCACAACTACAAATATGCTGAATTTTGCGTGTACGTTAATGAAATGTAGCTATAAGGAGTACACTTGGTTATGATCACAATTTACTTTGTATGTATGGCTAAAGATAACATGTAACTCTCGTCTATCCATATAAAACTGTGTTAAAACTTTTGTTTGCCTGTGAACATTTTTATAAACGTGTTTTTGCTATTATTTATGACACTTAACGTTACATCACTATTCCAATAAAATAACTGGTTCATGTTATCTACAATTTACTCCAGGAGTTCAAGAAACATATTCTAGTCATCATTGTCTGTATATTCAAGATATTTGCATCAATAAACATTTTTCAATTTTGGCCCAATGTCACCCCCTAGGCCCAATGTCACGCCCATAGGCCCAATGTCACCACGTCTTACGGTATACAGTGGTGGCCTTTAAATTATCACAATAGGCAAATTTTCATACAAACTAGCCAACTTTGGCATGTTGCAACTATGTTTTGTTGTGATCAATTGAGCTGAAATTTCGACTCAGAACTACAAATATGCTGAATTTTGCATGTACGTATAGGGGAAATGGATGCAATGTCGGCCTAAATGCCCCTAATTTGGGCCCATTTATAAATTCACCATTCGACTAAACTTTCAATAGCGACCAAAAATATCCATTAGTACCAAATGACGCGTTCATCTAGATAAAATTGATATATAGCCGATTTTTAGCGATGGGCCCAATCTTACATCCATAGCCATTTCCCCTATCAAATTATTGGAAGCGCTTGTCGGAAATTGACGGGCTGGTTGAAAATGGCCAACTAATTAGCACATTTATAATTCGAAATTTCCGAAGTGTTATAATTTTATAATTTTCAACCATATTGCCAATTCCCGACGGCGTGCTTAAGAAAGTTATCTACGATATGGTAAAAAAAATTCCATCATCATGTGTGTTACATCATGTCAAAGTTGACCATTTTGTATGAAAATCGGCATGTGCTGCTATTATATCGAACAGCACCGTATATTGATTTTTTTTTCTAAATAGTTATCGCAAATGGTAGTATAACGAGTCATCTTTACTAATGCATAACAAGTTTGACAACTGGTTGCACACACGTAGAAAACTAAATATTGAAACCACGGATTTAGAGCACCGCCGTACTTTTCGCTGCCTGTTTCGGCCAGGATGCGGCCCTATGTTGTGTTTTGTGATGTTTTCAAGGTAGTGGAGGATGTCGTTTCAGAACACACAATAAACTACAAACTTCACTTGGTGGCACTATAATATAACTTTTTATTACCTCCGAGAGGCATCCTGCCTGCTCAAAGGTAGTACGAACACTTAAATCTATATATTGAATTTCTTCCTTAAAAGCTAACACAGTACAATTAATTTCAATTACAAAACAACCATTACAAAATGTAAACAATAATATTAAATAACATACATAAACAATACCACGGTAATGGGGAGCGAAACGGTAGTTATTGGTCTTACAGTATGGCGGGCTTTGCTACCATCTGGCCGGGCATTCATAGCTGTTTGCTTTGCACATTCAAATGCAGTAGAGCCCGTCGTCGATGGTGCGATCGAACAGTGCCTAATACCGAAGACAACATATCAAGAAGACTGGCAACTCTTACATTTTCTCTAACAATCGGTATGAGGCAGGCACAATCGCGTCATCTGCCGCTTAAAGGTAAATGCTCCTATATAATTGGATAGCAAAGGTTCCATCCTCAGAAGAAAGGTTTTTGTATTTTCTAATTTTTCTATGCGATGCTTCCACCATCGCTCGAGCGCAGCGCTACTGTGTCTGTCGCTTGGATTCAGGCAAAGTTGCCTGTCTTCTTGATATGTTGTCATCGCTAATACCGTAGTTTGGTTGCAGCAGTAAAATGGCTTAATAAAACATATGTTTTGCATTCGGAATTAATTGAACATGGCTCCTGGCAACGTTAAAAACAGAAATTCTATTCATAATGTGCCCTGATTGTTTAATATAGGTATGATTCTAAGTGTCACTCTTCAAGTGTGCGGTATTGGGCACAATGACATATCTAACCCTTTTTTAGGTTGCACAAATTTTGCGAATCATATTTTTATGGCAAATCATCAAATTCCGATGTACAGTACACAATCATATTAAATAAACATAAATAACTGCAATTTTTTTTTTGCTAACTGATTTAAATTTGAAACGTTCTTAACCCAACGGTTAAGGGCATGTCACAGTATAAGAAAAATACCCTTAAAAGTTTAATAACAGATTATAAGCAGTTTGCGAAAGTGTTTGAAATATTTAAACACATTGCTGCAGGTTGAAAAAATAATCGATAAAAAAAGTGTTATTTTAGCTGACCCTTCCCGTCAGGGGTAGGAGGGTGAACAAATGGGGCATATTGATATTGAGCATACTACCAATTAAGCTGTTTTGAACAATTAAAAACTTAAGGCTAAAGTTATTATGCCCACCTGTTCAATATGCCCCTCTTTCCAATAAGAGTAATTTTAAAGCATACAGCTAAATAATCAGACTAATGTGTATTATTTTAATAAACTTTTTTTTTACTATCCATAACAGATCCATTCCGGCAAATCCTGCCTATAGTTTTCTAAGCACATCTCAGTATCGCTTCCTCGAAGATAACCCTTCACCTGTGGCAATATGTCTCGAACATGATCACGAATTACTAAAGCCTCAACTGACGAGTACTTGGATGCCGAACGGCGTTGGGTCAATACCAGGAAAAAGCGTAATTTTCGCAGAAACACAGGTAAGTGATTTGCTTGTAAATTACTTCAATTCACAATTACTCATAAAAATTGATTTCAAATCTCTACAACTCCAAGCTCACAAACCCGATATAGAGTTATATTTATATGGGATTTATGGTCTATGAATTGAATATGAATATGAATGCGGTAGCTGGGCCAAAACCTCTAGCACCGTGGATATGCTTCCAATATACTTACGATCTAGGAAAAAGTTACTCCGTTTTAAAAGGATAAGCTTTTAACGGTTTGTGATTAGTTTATTTTACGCCCAGTGAGAATTAGCTTATTTTTACAGTGAGAAAAAGTAAGAGGTTGTATGCAAGACACAACCGTAGATTAAACGTAGGATTACGTGCTCATTATCAATATTCGGCGACTGTGCTAGGGAAACCACTTTTTCCCATCACGGAAACGCCTCGTTTTCTGATGACGCACGGAATTTTTGGTTTATTCAATAGAGCGCAAAAAAATCAAAAATTGATTGAAAGAATTTCTTGCTAAATTATTTATTTTTTGCATTTTTCTAGTATCCTGAAGAAAACCATACCATAATTCGAAGTCTTTCTGGTTGATTGACAAGGTCATGTGGTATTCGGTCATTGCGTGAATTTTTATGTATCACTTCAAAACTGTTACACATTTGACAACATACAAAATTATTGTAAGTCTCTCAGACTGTTGGGATCTGTTAGTTATTTTTGCTGACTGGTGCTCAAGAAATTTGATGAGTCTAAGCATCGAAAAATGTAAAATTATTTCCTATCACCGATCATGTTTGACTATGTTCTCTACGGACACTGTAGAGCACATAAAGGATCTCGGTGTACCTTGGACTGCAGACTCACTTTCAGAATCCATTACAATGACATCATCTTCAGAGCTAATCGACAATTGGGCTTTATTTTAAAAATTTCCGACGAGTTCCGTGACCCGCTATGCCTCAGGTCACTCTACTGCTCGCTTGTGCGATCCTTATTGTAGTCAAGTTTAGTTTTTTGGTGCCCTTTCCATGCTAGCTGGATCACTAGAATTGGATCCGTTCACGCAAGTTTGTGAGATATGCTTTTCTTTTCTCAACTGGCGTGACCCAACGAACTTGCCACCGTACGAGGACGGGAATCGAACCATTAGAGGTGAGACGGACGGTCGCTCAATCTAAGTTCGCTGGAAATATTTTCGTACAAACTAACCAACTTTGGCATGCTGCAATTATGTTTTGTTATGATCAATTGAGCTGAAATTTTGACACAGAACTACAAATATGCTGAATTTTGCGTGTACGTTAATATCAAATTATTGGAAAAGCTTGTGGAAATTTACGGGCTGGTTTAAAATTGCCAGCTAATTAGCACATTTATATTTCGAAATTTCCGAAGTGTTATAATTATATAATTTTCACCATATTGCCCATTCACGACGAAAGTTAACACTTGAAAAGGGCTTATGCAAAAATGATACGCATCAATAGAAAAACATATATCTCGCGAACGATTTGTTTGATCGAGATGCTGTCTTGGGTGAAGTTGCGGACAAGTATTGTGCCTTTCAAGAAAAAATATACACTGTAAAAAATTATTTTGTTATACACAAAAAAAAAATCAAAATTATAAAAAATAATTTAATTACTCAAATAGCATATTTTTTTATTTTTATATTGATGTTTACATAAAGTGCTACTTATTGACAATGTGCGTTTGCTGGGCAACTCATAAACAAAAAAGTTATGAATTATTTCCAAAATACTACTTACAGTTATCAAGTATCTTTGAAATGGTGTTATTATTATAACACATTAAATTTACAACAAAAAAGCTCATAATGCTTAAATTGCCCAAAGTTGTTATTTTCGAGATACACGTTGGTTAAAATTCACTTATCGCATAATTTGAGCAATTATTACCCTTTTGAGATGTTTGTCGTGAGTGTTTAATCTTGAAAATATTTTTAACAAAAAGCCCAATCAATTTTCTTGAACTTTGCAGCTCACAGTTTTTCAATCAGACGCATGAGTGAGAATATAATTAATTATGAGTAAGATACTAGTTAGTGGAATAGAAAACAACCATAAGAAGTGTTTGACAGCCTTTTAGGGTCATTGTTAGTGCCGTAGCTACACAGTACGAACGGGCAAAGCGGACAGGCCATCTCCAGAATTGTCCAAGACCACCCACCTCAGATTTTTTTTAGTTTTTTGCTCATATTGCGGTTCGTAGCATAACTAGTTTTGACAATAAACCTTATTTTTCAATATGTCGCAACAACCCCACCTAGGTAACTTTTTCAAAAGACTTATCTGCTTTTGTAAACAATGCGTTCGATCGTCGATTCGACGACAAATCGAGTATCCGATATTTGTAATACCATTTGCAAATTATGGCATTCATTTCATAAATATAAATGTATTAAATAAAATAGCGTTCTTAGGTATTTATTTAGTTCAAATTATATAATTACATTTATACTTAATACGTCTATTTAAACAAATTAAAAACCTTTACATCATGATCTGAACAGTTTGAGAAGAATATTGGTTTAATTTAATTTTCAGATATAGGAATAAATGAGTGAAATTTTTGCGTTCCTTGAATTGTTTTTGCTTCACAATATTGTTCATTAAGCTCTGCCGCCATAGTTTTATATTCTTCTGATGTTACAAAAACAAATGATAAACTCGTCAACTTCTCCTCCTTTCAATTATTTGCCCAGTTATATAATTCTTTGGCATTTTTAATTGAATGTTCACGTTCTCTGGCTAAACTGGCTCGTGTAGCCATGCGCTTTATCGTACCTCCAATACCATCACACGATCCTTTGCCATGGGATGTCGCAAATAAATGCCATTCAGTTTCAATTTCATACATTGACTTGAACTTGCAGAGACTTGAAAGAATCTTAAGGTTATTGTACTGTGAAGCAGCTCCGTCAGACATAAAATAAATTTTCTTCACTATTTTTCTCTGATCTGTACGTAAAAAAGTAATCATTTTGGAAATAAACAGGTTAACAGCTACTGCATCATGTGTCAATTCTTTTGAGATAATAATGAAACTAAAATGAAGCACTTGTGAGTTTTCTTTATAGTATACAACGAATGGATGGATAGTAGCTTGTTGTAAATTTCAATGATGAGATTGTACTTCATCCTGCAGTAAAAAGGAGTTATTTTCAGAAAAATCACAAATGATTAAAAATTTCCCTACTTGCAAATTGTTTTTCGTTGTTTTTAAGAATTTAGATTGTTCTGTTTTAATGAAATCGTGCGGTTCAATTTGAGTAATTTTTCACAAAAATATGAAATATAATCTTCAGGCTCTTTAACAATAGTTTGTATATCACATCTATCAGTAGTTACCCACTGTTCGAATGACAGTTGATCAATCATTTTTTCTTCTAATTGCTGTGTTAAAAAATCCTCAATCGACGAAATGTCTGGACAATCCTCACAACATCTAAGATAACAATATGCTGTTTTTCTTTCACAAATTAAACTATCAGTCAAGGACTTTAAGTCATACAAAATATTGTACTTTTTTAAACTATGTGTTATAAGATAAAAAAATTTCATGATTTGTACAAACGCAAACATTGTGCGATCCCGAACTGGTTAAAAGTTTGCAGTATTTAGGACGAAGTTTCGCGAATGAAGAAATTCCTATTTTTACCTCACTATTAATTTCCTTAAATCTTTTGTATGCTTCTTTAAGTGTCGTCATCAATAACCTTTTCTGTATTGCTTTCCGTTTTCCATCGTTTTTCATTGACACCTAGTCTCTCTGGCCAGGCATCACCCGACTTGTTTCATCGTCCTCAAAAAATTGAACAACAAGTTCCTTCGTTGCATCATTTAAGCCATGGCCCGATCTTTTGTGAAATGCTGAATGTGCTCCATCAGTTTCAAATAATTCTTTAGCTGCTGTTGCGAAGTACCTTGTGGTGTTAAATTCATCCATTATTTTTTGGCAACTTGGGCAACACAGTTAAAGTCTGTAGTTTTTCACTCCTTGATGTATCTTGTCTGCCAAATTTTTCTTTCAATTGAAGATTTATTTCTTCAAAATCCTGTGTTGAACTTGTTTGGTCCTCCTGCGGTCCTAGTTGGAAAAGATGCTTCCTCACTCCTTGGTTGATTTCCTTAATTTTATGTTCAGGATAGTAAACGTTGTTTGACTTCTTTGCATCAATCGGGGAAACTTGAATCCCAGCAATTCCTCGGTTGAATATTTCGATGTTAACAGATCGCGAAAATTCATCATCAGTTGTTGCAGTTGTGGCCACTGGTATTGTTGATGGTATCGTTGACAGGCTGGGTACTTCAGGCAAAACCCTTCCAACAACATTTTCCGAGTTTTCAGCGATGATTTAATTTTCACCTCTTCTAGCCCGTCTTTCAACTTCTCGACGGCAAGATCCGCAGATGCGTAAATTGGAATTCATTGTATCTCCGGAATATCCAATCGTGTTCAAGTTCTGTTTGGTATTTTCTGAAAGAATTCACAGATCCTTTTTTATACACCTTACATCATCATTTTTTTATCGGTTGAATACATTGGGTCATAACAAATCGGTTATCCATATCTTTGTACTGGTGAACGCTGAAAAAAAACGTAAAAATATAAATATACTTATTTTTGTATATACATTTAACTTATGTTCGTATCAAATTTATATTGAATAACGAGCTTACCTTAACAGAAAAGAAACTTTGTATAACTTTGTATAACTTTGTATAACAGCACTGAATCACATTCCGTCTCGCACACTGAGCCGGTCAAGTCGCATCGGTCTCGTTGTACGACACTATCATTTGAGTTTCGAGTTTTTCCCCACGCGAGGGTTTTTTCTCGTCAAAGTTATTTGGCATAGTGTTTAAACAACTAGTGCGCGAGTGAGGAAGCCGTTAATGATATGCCGAGTGCTTTCATTACGGTCCAGCTTTAACCCAGCATCATCGCAACATCATCAGCAAAATCATCACCACTATCGGTACATCACCCCATCG